AAATTTCACTCTAAAATACTTTAAGTCAATGGTTCTTAAGCTTTAGAGTACATAAGAATCACACAGAGGCTGGGTGTGGTGACTCACACCTATAATCCTAGCACTCTAGGAGGCCAAGGATTGCTTGAGCTCAGGAGTTCAAGACCAGCCAGAGCAAGATCAAGACCCCATGTCTACAAAAAATTGAAAAATTAGCCAGGCATCGTGGCATGCACCTGTAGTCCCAGCTACTCCAGAGGCTGAGGCAGGAGGATCGCCTGAGCCCAGGAGTTTGAGGTTGCGGTGAGCTGTGATGATCCAAGGCTACAAAGTAAGACTGTCTTAAAAAAAAAAAAAAAAATCACATAGAAGACTCCACCCCAGAGTTTTTGATTCATTCCGTGGTTGGGCTCCAGATTTGGCATTTTAACAAGTTCACAGGTGCTACTGTTGCTGCTTTGAGACCCATTGTTCTAGGTTAAGTATTTGCCATTAAATAATAAAATGTTTCTTTGTAAAGACCTTTGGATTGTATTTAGTATCAAAGCATAGTTAAAAAATTTTAAAATTTTAATCAGTTTAACTAAAATTTTTAAATTGTAAATGCAATGTAAAGCAAAACCAAGAGTCATATTGTAAGTGAATCTAGATGTAGGGCCAGGAATTTGGCCAGACAACTTCATTTGTCAATGATTTAAGCACAAATCTTTTAACAATTTTTAATATTGTATCAAAGACCCCAAGAAACATTTCCAACCACAACATTTTTTTTTAATTTAGCCAACATGGAAACAACTTGAAATGCAATACAGTTGTCTAAAATAAGAGTAATAACAATATCTTGGTACTGCATCAATTGCAGATTAAAATGGTCAGCTTTACATTTTCATATTTAGTTTAAGCTTCATAGTGAAACATGTTTCTTTTGTTATAGTGTTTTTCCCTCAATCTCCTCATCTTTTCTCACTTCTTCTCCCACCCTAGACTCCATGTTTTATTGTTAACTGACACTGTTGCATAGTGAAGATATTATTGCAGACAGAAGTGCATGTCCTCAATATAAAGCAAACAGATTTTGTCACTACCCACTAGGGAAATCATACAGACACTGTCAGTCATACAGTAGGCAAGGTTACATTATCAAAATGATACACCTGTGACACACAGGCAAAAACCAAATTCAAAAAGGACCAATTAACAGATAGGCTGGTTTGTATCCTGACTACATTGGAAATCTTTCCATTCTTGCAGGTATATAAAATTGGTGCTTTAATAGGCTTTCACTTTTGTAATAACTCTTATCTATTCACTGCCAACAAAATATATGTATGAAAATATTTTAATTCTACTGATCTGAATGAATTCCATCTGGTTATTTATTAGAAGTCATATCTAATTTTTGTACAATTTCTTTACTGTCACCATAACATACTTCTGAGGTGTCATATTGAATAGACAGGCTTAAATTCAATTCAGATACTTTCCCTTGTGCTATTGAAATGAAGAAATACATTTGAAGCAGTTTTGTGTTTGTCCAAAAGCAAATAATAAGTATACATACAAAGAAAAAATAAGTTTAGAATACTTAGAGACAGGTCATGCTCTTATTATTAATACAAGTGACTTATCAGAAGACAGTTAAAATATCCTTAAAATTTTTGCTACAATTCTAAAAAGTTCCCCACAAGCCCAGTATCATAGCTCTATATTCATGGCAAATAATGTAAGGATAGATGAACTATTACGTGGATGTATACAATAAATAAAATAAAATCTAATCTATTATATCTAATAAATCTAGCAACTTTAAAATAAAAATATTATAGAAAACATTTAATAGGTTACACATTTTATGTAAAGTATAAAATGTTAAGCATTCAATGAATGCTTGAATGCTAAATTAATACTGTTGTTGTTTTACACATCACACTACTTCTTTACAGCAAATATAAAAAGGTTTGATTAAGGAAGTACCCAAAACACCTTGCTGTAAAGAGATTGCATACCCACCATCTTGTTGTTAATATCAAACTCAGCACCTTAGTGTGATGTGCCTATATTTAAATATTTGGAGTACATATTATCTGTAAGTACACTATTTTAGTGTACTATTATAGTAGTACAAGTACATATTGTCTATTAAAGGGCAATATAAAGTTAAAGATTTGTCTTCTCAGGTGCCAGAATATTGACAATTAACTCCAAGAACAGAATGTACAGAATGATGAACATCAAAAACAGACTCACCCTGCACTTTGTACAATATCTAAATCTATTTCACAACAAACTTATCTTCCCTTTTGTCTTCTTTTCTATAATTTCCAGAGACTTGCATCTTATACTTTATATTTCTTCTTATCCACAAACTAACAATCTACTAATCTTACTTATTCTTTAATATCAAGACCAAGCCAGTCTTACCTACCCCATGAAACCTTTTCAAACAAAATCCAGTATGAAATGTTATTGTCAAGCTCTGAATTCCTGTACTACTCATTAGACATGTAATCTTTCACTGTCATGGGCTGCTAACTCTATGTTCAAGTATGAGCATCAGATTCCTCTCAACTGGCAAGTAAGTTCTTGAAAAATAGGGAACAAGGGAATCTCATGTTCCTCCACAATGTCTAGGCAGTACTTTGCACACGGTAGGCCTTTTATTATGAACACTGTAATGAGCGATGAAATTCAATATAGAGTTGAATAACTATTATTGTAAAACTATAATAAAATTTTCATTTTCTACTTCTTGAGTTTGATGTAAATTAACATTCTATGGTATGATATTTTTAAATAATAAATAGTTGCTGATCGCGGACAGTGTCAAAGAACAAAATACTCATAAACATGACTTTTAACAATTGCAATGTTACTGTCCATAGTTACATTTTTTAATTCCCCATTATCTCTACATTCCAATGAATGGGGTTCTCCATCTAAGTTCTAACCTAATAAAAAGCTGCACATGAGCTCATATTGAAAACGTATTTTAAACTAATATGAATCTAACTAAATCATATGATCAAATCCTTAACTCCACTCTGTCTTTCAAATAAACAGGACTGTTAAGGAAACTGTGTTCCAGTTTGGGGAAAAACGGTTTGTTTTGATCAAAATAAGGAACTCGTTAATATCAAATGAAGACAAATTACTCTAACCACAGGTTGACTAGTTTACTTTTCTTTCTTCTCTGTGAGATTATTGAAAGGGTAGTTACAACATGGAATTTTAATCTTTCAAAACATTGTGTTGGTAGGCACTAAGAGACATCTCCATTTAAAAGATTAAGGACACTATTCTACTATAACAACCCAGTCATCAGTTCTATAAAAGCACAGGTTGCTACTTTTAAGGACAAACATTACTTTGCTAAAGCACAGTGATGGGCACCATCCCTAGTCATTTCTAAGCTTCAAGTTATGTCTTTGGAATCTGTACCTGTTACAAAGTGAACAGAAAGGGAAACCAAAACAAATTATGCTGTAACCTAGATTAACAGTGTTTTAGGTCTTTTCTTAACAACCAGTTTTTAAAGAATCAGTAGTAACAGACCCACCTGTTCTCTGTCCTCGCCAAGGCTTTTCATAAAACCAGCTTTAAATTATGTGTGTACATTATTTTTAATAGCAGGGGGGAGGAGGAAATGGAGACTATGTGTCATATTTCAGTAGTAGGAAGGTATTCAACTGAGAAAAGATTTCAAAAAAAAACGAAAGCAGCTGAAACCAAGTAGGTATTTCCTGTCCTGTAAGTCCTGTTGAGGGCCTGAAGAAGTAAGAGGAATGGAAAATGGGGCCATCATCACATTAAAAAAAAAAAAAAAAAGCAAGGAATCTGCAACTTCTAAGAAACATGTTTTTTTTTTCCTACTCGTAACAATAAGAGTGATTTTTCTCACTTCATTTCCTATTCCAGGTTCCACGCAAGGGGAGAAAAAAAGCTGAATTGCTTCTAATTCAGAGAGAGAGAGAGAGAGAGAGGAGAAAAGAGAGAGCGCGCGCAGCTCAGGATACACTGAAGGAAACCCCAAGAAATTTCACAACTCTTTGCCATAAATAGCCTTTCTTCTCACTGTGGATACCTCCTCCTTTGCATCAGCAAGGCTCAGCCTCCGCGCACAGAGAAGCACCATTCACAAATCCCCCCGTCACCCCTACCCCTCGCTGGCACCGTGTGTGCGTGCGCGCGCGAATCCCGGGGACACGAGCCAGATGACCAAGGGGCCGGGGGCCACCTGCGCTTTCAGCTCCAGGCCGACTTTCTGCTCAGGTGAACGCACGCGCTGCTGAGTCCCAAGCGCGAACACTCGCACACTGTCACACACACCGTCACACACACACACACCCCCGCGAGCCCTGGACGCGCCACCACAAAGCGAGGTATTCGCCCCAAGTCGCCGCCGCTCCCGCCGCCTCAGGGCGAGGGCTGGCTCCCGAGCCGGGCGCCGGCGCCCGAGGACCCGCAGGCGGAGGCAGGAGGCGGTCCCGGCCCGGCACTGCGGGTCCTCAGGGAGCCTCGGGCTCCCCGCCCCCTCCCCTGCCCGCGGCGCCGCCGTCCCCGCCCCGGCCCCACAGCCGGGCGCAGCGCCGCCCGCAGCCCCTACCTGCGGGACGCGGGCGGCCGGGCAGACTGGCGGCACGAAGCCCGCGCCAACTCTTGCCGCCCCGACCGGCCGCGCCGCGCCGCGCGTCGCCCTGGAGCGGCGGCCGCGGGGCATCCACCTGACAGGAACGCGGAGCAAATGGCCACGCCGGGCACCGGGAGCCGCGGGGCCGGGGACGGGCGAGCCCCTCCGCGTCCTTCCCGCCCCGCCCGCAAGGCCGGGTCCCTGCGCGGAGCACGCCGGGCCCACGGCCGGCGCCCCGGGCCTGGGCGGGGGCTGCTCCCGCGCGGCCCAGGCGCGACGCGGTCACCTGCCTGCCCGCCGGGCGGTCATGCCCGCGCCCGCCGGGGGCCGGCCGGGGCGCTGAGGCGACGCGACGCGCGACCCGCCGGGCCGGGGGCACCGGGGGCGTTACTACCTGGAGGGTTCCGCGCCGCTCGTTAAGGCTCCTCCCGGGCACTCGGGGATTTATGTCTTCGGGGCACGGGGGTGTCCTTCCTGGTCCCCCTCCTCTGCCCTCCCTCCCCTTCGTGGCTGTGGGGCTGCTTCGCTCCGCTCGCAGTTGCACGGAGCCGAGCGGCGTTATTTAGTAATCCTCCTGCTCCTCCCGCCTGCGCCAGCAGGGCTGCTCTGCCGGAGCCGCCGCTTCCCAGTCAGTCATGCTGAGGGAGCGGGCGCGAGGGAGGCGGGTTGGCAGGAGGGCCGCGACTATTCGTGGTGAGGAGGAGAAGAGCGCAGCGAGAGGAGGGCAGAGGAGGGACGCGGGGAGGCGCTTCCAAGTGTGAGAGTGCGCCGCGTGCGACCGTGCGGGCGGCGCGGGGCCTCCTCCCCGGCAGGCCGCGCTCGGGGCTGTGAGGGGGGCGGGGACGAGCGCGGCCTTTATGGGGGGGCGGAGCGGGGCGGCTCCCGGCCCGCTGCGTCGCGGCCACCGCGCACGCATCCTCGGGCATTGACGCGCGCACCCCAGCGCCGGCCCGCTGCGGAGTTCCCATTTCAGCCGGCCGCGGCCGCGCACCGGGCTGACTTGGCTCTCCGGGACCGCCCCGTCCTTGCGCGTAGGTCGCCTCCAAGTGCGCTGGCAGGTCAGGAAGATAGGGGGAGTCTGAAGAGACGCGGAGTGGCCGCGGGTGTGCTGGCAGTGCACTGTGCATCTTTCCCCTCCAAGCTTGCGAGGCTGTCTTCTTCCTCCCTCCCACCTCTCGGGGAGATTATGAGGTTTTTTTTCTCCGCTCTCCCTTCTCACCTACCCAGTTCACGTCTTTGACAAGTTCCTTCCTTCCTTCCTTCCTTCCTTCCTTCCTTCCCTTCTTCTTCTTCCTCCGTCCTCTCCATTCCTCTCCTTCCCTCCCTCCCTCCCTCCCTCCGGAACAAGGAAGGAAACCTGGCTTCTTTTCTTTAAGCAGGTCACACCTCCCAGGAACCATTTGCAGCGATCAGTTCTTCTGTAGGACAATTGGAAGCATTGCGACCATGACTAAGAGTGGAACTTGTGTTCCTGAGCAATATGGGCATAGCAAACACGACCAGCTACCAGTTTGACATCATTTGACTGATGGCCCCCTGGAGAAAATTTGCCAGCTTAGAGATGGAAAAGACTTCTGATGCATGGTGCTGTTGCTTACACAATTTATTTTCCCTTGATCCTCTCAGACCCTTGCACTGCCTCATTTCCTTTCAGGTTTGCACTGGGTCCTGAACTCTTTCCCATCCATCCCCTTCTTCATCTCTACCCCTGTATATTTATGCCTTTAGCAGACAAATCAACAAATGGAGTGCATTTAACTCTGTTTTTGTGTGTGTTTGTGTGTGTGTGTACACATCATTTTTTAAACCAGTTCTGGTAGAATATAGGACAATTTATAGGTAGATAATGCATCCCCAACGTGAAGTTTGTACACCTGACTTCACCTCCTCTTAGCCCCTTACTAGCCTCCTGCCCAGATTACAAAATGTTTGAGATCTAGTGCACTGCTGTATTGAGAAACAGCTTCCAGGATTCAAGCAATCTACACTCCTGTCAAAGTTGTGTGTGTGTGTGTGTGCATGTCTGTGTGTGTGTATGTGTGTGTTTGTGTGGTCTATGTAATCTAACTGCCCACAATCTGACTTCTGAAATGGGGCTATATTGAGGATGCAAGTAAGGTGTCCCATTTGAATCTTAATGGTTGATGTGTATTCCAACCTGGTGATGACTCTGCTTTGTCGGGGGACAACTGTAGAAAACTCTTTTTATCATAAATGTGACAAAAGAAAGATAACATTTAGAAGGCTAGGCAGGAAGCAGCAAGGTTGACGATTGAGTTTTCCCATCTTCTCCCATGACTTATGACCATTACTACATCTTCAGGGTTATCTATGCTCCATGTATTTTACCTTTTTCCCATTGATGTTCCTCTCCCTTAATTCTTCCGTGTCTCATACAAATAAATTAGCATCCATTAAAAATGATTTAAGCACATTATCTAGAAGAAATATTAATGGGAGTGTGTAAAAAAACAAAGTGATGCTGGAAAGAAAGGGCAGCAAAGTTGGGACCAGTGGATATCAATGATGTATAAATATGGGATATTATAGCTGCTTTAATTAAGCATTGGAAAATGGATGTATGGACAAAGGATTTGGGGATGTATAGTGTGCCCCACGACATCAAGAAAGTCAATTTTGGGAGGGTAAGCAGTTAACCTAAGATCATACAAAGAATAAATGATGCAGCTGGAACTCTACCTGTCTGTCTGTCTTGCTCTCCTGCCCATGCCACCTCCCATGCAGTACTCCTGGCTTAGTTAAAAATCTTAAGAATTTCCTTAGAGCTTTTGGTTATTATGAAATAAGCTGATCTACAATCCTTGGGCATTTTTCTTCTACCTCCCTCCTTCCTTTTACCATGCAAGAGAGGTTTACAAAATGTTAAATTTTTAGGGTTAGGCAAGGATTTTAAAAGTCTTAACATACTTGTACTCGCGGATAGAAAAAGTTGAAAACTTTTCTCCACAGTTCTTACAGAAAGAAACCTGCTGTCATAGCAAAAAGAAATTTTTTAGAAAATATATTATTAAACATTTGTATCTAGTGGATGAATATGTGGTCTAAGAGCTATAAGTAGACATTTAAAAAGCTCTGTCTGTCTTGAAGGACAGTGCTCAGATATTGAACAAGTTTTTGGTGCATACTTGAAAATTATGTATTTAGACCAGATATTTCAAGGGCATCTTTGGTAACCACAACTGATTGTAATTTTTACACTCTCAATTGCATTCATAATTAGTGAGAACCATGACAATCTGTCAATTGCCTCTATTCATTAAGGTATTAAATATAGCTAAAATTTCTTGCTTAATTTTCTGACAAATTTGCTTTCCAAATAAAGATTAAAATTCATATGCACTAGACCAGAAAGACATATGAAAATATATAACCTAAAACACACTTGTGAAAAGTTGATTAACTATTTTGTATTTTCCTTTTAAAAAATCTACACTAGAAACCCCATTTATAAATTATAATGAACAACATTTTAGAAGTTAAGTAAATGAATTATTCTCTTTTAAGATTGTTTAATGTTTCAAGTAGAATTCCCCACTTTGCAACACTTTCAGTGATAGAATTTTTGTTGTGATAGGAAAACAGAAAGTTAATGACTCTTTCCAATTTGTTCATTTTCATCTCTTGTATGCTTGCTGCTGTTTGGTTCCCAAGTGCATTTAACTGGCAAGTTCAATGAAGATTTGGCATTGCACCATTTGATGAAAGCAGAAAAATTAGGTTGCCAATTACATATGTGCCCCTTATGTGCACTGAATTCCCACTGAAGTGATGAGCCAAATTAGAAATTCCTCAGTAGTGGTACCTAAAAAGCAAAATTAGAGCCAAGGAAAGGAAAGGGAGATAATTTGTTTTTCCAGTTCCATTACTAGTCATGAGGCATTTTAGAAAGTGAATTAACTTTAATACATTTGCAAAACAATGTTTGTGGCTGAAATATCATTACAAATTTAAAACTTGCACTTATTTTTTTTCTTTCCTAGCTATTTTATTGTTCTTTGATTTACTTCAAACTCTATCATGATTATTCAATCATTATGAAAAAAAGTTGTATGAGAACAACTCCCCCCCCCTTTGCTTTAGCCTAATGGCATAAAAGAAATGCAAGAAAATATTATAAATATGGTATTAGCATTTTGGATTTCTTCCATATTACTAAAAGGTAAGTTATCCTTTCATGATGCTTTTACAACATGAAAGTGGCGTTATAGGTACCTTAGAGCAACAAGAGCAGTTAATTGAGATCGAGGCTGAAACTGACACTTAGTTCAAGACCAATGACACATGATAAAGTGTGAGATAGGAGAAGTGCAGATTGACTCAGCTGCAGCCCTGGGCCCAGAGAACAGAAAAAAACTCAATCTTAATGTAGAATACTATCTTAATTGGGGCAACTTATAGATAGACAATGCATAGTAGACAAGAGTTTAGATAGAATTATTTTTCAGAAATCTGTTAGTGGTAACTATGCTTTATAAATTGTCTCTTTGCAGCAGGAATTCTGCCCAGTGGCAGGACAGCAGGATCCATTCATGTGGAAACTTAGGCAGAAGCTAAACCCAGGTGACTGGGTCAAAACACTCTCTGCATGAGCTGTCTTTGATCTGGGAACTACAAAAGACACCTAGGATTCATCCTGTAGGGCACACGTGGGAGCAAGTCTATTAAAGTGAACAGAAGCCACTGTCTTTGTATCTGAGCTACCATGTCCCAGGTTTACATGTGATATAATTCCAAGTCCATTTAACGGACTGAGAAGATAGAAAGTAGAGGATGTTTAGAGGCATCTCTTACCCAGCAACTGAAGTAACCCTGAATTTCAAGGGAAGACTACCCAGTTTAAAGAGCTGAAGCTGAAATGGTGAAAAACAGGAGAGCGCTAACAACATTAATGTTCTTCAAATTTATGCCTGTTTTTTAAAGGGAGGTAAACTATTGATATGTTAAAATAATGCTTATTAGTGTAAAACAGGAGAATCTTTATAAACAGATTCACCATTAGGAACTTGTTTTTGTAGATAATGTTCTTATCTTTGTTTCTGTTTTGAAATGTGACTAATGAGGTCTTTGGGAAAATGACTTCAGGATTTCTTGCCTTCACATGAGGTAATTTTCATATCTGAATATAGTAGCCCCCCCCCTTTATCCTCAGGGGATACATTCAAAGACCCCCAGTGGATGCCTAAAACCACAGAGACTACAGAACCCGATATATTTTATGTTTTTTTCTGATCTGCTGACCAAGACAGCTACTAAGTGACTAAGGAGCAGATGATATATATGGTGTGGATATGCTGGACAGTAGGATGACTCATGTCCCCAGCAGTATGGAGCAGGAAGGTGTGTAATTTAAAAGTTATGCATTGTTTATTTCTGGAATTTTCCCTTTAATATTTTCAGACTGCAATTGACCACAAGTGACTGAACCCACAGAGAGTAAAACAGTAGATAAGGGGAGGACTACTGTACTTGTTTTTTTCTGCTTAGAATATTTTTTAAAAAATTAACCCAATTCATTGGTTAATTTGTTGATGTCTATGGGTTATATCAACCAAAGTGACTTTTTTTTTAATTAGGCTTTTGAGTTGTTCTACTATTATTGTCCCCAGGCATTTATGTGGTTGTAGGCGTTTTGTTAACACAAATAAGACTTGACGGATTTTAAAAGAAAGCATCGGTTAAATCATCCCTAAAAGTAGTATATTGATAAAATCTGAAACTAACACTCAATCTGGGTATAAATCAAATAAATAGATCTGATTATAACAATAGATGAAATAAAACAAAACTATAATAGTATTATGGTACTAC